CCAGGGCGCCCAAGAGGGCCCCAGGACGGCCCAAAAAGGGCCTAAAATGACATTCGAAAATTCCCAGAGGGCCACAGTTCGCTGATTTTCCCGAAATGTTGTTGAATCTCTCCCGCGCGGAGGAGACGGAGAGGGCGAAGGAGGAGGCGGAGGAGGAGGGGGAGGAGGAAGAGGAAGAGGAAAAGGACGAGGCGGGGAGGAGGAGTGGAGGGGAGGAGGGGGGGAGAGAGGAGGAGGAGGCTCGAGGGCGATCGACGATCGGCGACGACGACCGGCGACGGTGATTGACGACGACGACGACGACGACCACGACGACGACCGATGACGATCGACGACGATGACAACAGTCGACGCCGCCGATCGATGATCGACGGCGACGACGACGACGGCCACGCCGACGGCGGCGACGCTGTCCGACAGCCTCGTCGAGGCCCCAGAGGGCCCCAAGACGTCCAAGAGCGCCTCAAGAGGGCCCGAGATTGTTTGAAGCTGGCCGAAGAGGGCCTTCAAGAGGCAAAAATCTGCCCATTCCCGTTGTACAACGTACGTTTCCCCGAGCCCCAAGACAGCCCAAGAGAGACCCAAGAGGGCCCAAGACGGCCCAAAAGGGTCGTCTTGTGAGGCTCACGGAACCCCCAAGACGGCCCAAGAGGCCCCAAAGTTGGCCCAGGAGGCTCCCAACGCGGCCTGAGGGAGGCCCAAGAGGGCCTCTTTCGAAATCCTGTTCCCAGAAGCCTCTCCGGGAACATGATTTCCTGGTTCCCACGACGCCCAAGAGGGCCCTAACACGGCCCCAAAAGGCCCTAAATGGACGTTCGAAAAGGCCCGGAGGGCCATAGTTCGTTGATTTGCGCGAGATGTTGCTGGATTTCTTCAGCGCGGAGGAGACGGAGAGGGCGAAGGAGGAGGAGGAGGAGGAGGAGAAGGAAGGGGAGAATGAGGAGGAGGCGGGGAGGAGGAGTGGAGGGGGGGAGGGGGGGAGAGAGGAGGAGGCTCGAGGGCGATCGACGATCGGCGACGACGACCGGCGACGGTGATTGACGACGACGACGACGACGACGACGACGACGACGGTCGACGACCGACGACGACGACGATAGACGACGATGACAACAGTCGACGTCGCCGATCGACGATCGACGGCGACGACGACGACGGCCACGCCGACGGCGGCGACGCTGTCCGCGTGCGCAGAGCCACCCTGGACCCAGTCTTTTCTGCATCGTTCGAAATCCTGTCCCCGGAAGCGTCTCCGGGAACATGATTTCAGGAGGAGGAGGAGGAGGAGGAGGAGGAGAGGAGGAGGCAGATTAGGAGGAGGAGGAGGAAGAGGAGGAGGAGGAGGAGAGGAGGAGGAGTGGGCGGGAGGGCTCGGGGCCGATCGACGATCGGCGACGGTGATCGGCGACGGTGATTGACGATGACGACGACGGTCGTCGACGGCGACGACCGACGACGACGATGGACGACGATGACAACAGTTGACGCCGCCGATCGGCGAACGGCGACGACGACGACGTTTTCACAGTGCCACCCTGTGGAGCCCCAAGACGGCCCAAGAGGGACCCAAGATGACCCGTGAGAGCTACAAGCCAGCCCAAAGGAGCCCCAACAGGCACCCAACAGAGCCACAACGGGGGCAAGCAGAGCTGCCTATAGAGATTCTCGGGGGGCCTCTTCCGCAGCGTCCGAAATCATGCTCCCCGAAGCCTATATCGGAACATGATTTCCGGGTTCCCAGGACGCCCAAGGGGGCCCTAAGACGGCCCCGACAAGTCCTAAAAGGACGCCCGAAAAAAAAAACGGAGGGACGCAGTTCGCTGATTTCCGCGACATGTTGTTGGATTTCTTGCACGCGGAGGAGGTGGAGGAGGAGGAGGAAGAGGACAGGAAGAAGAGGATATGGACGAGGAGGAGGAGGAGGAGGAGGAAGAGGAGAACGAGGGGGGAGGAGGGACGTGGAGAGAGAAGGGGGACGGGGGGAGGAGGAGGGAAGAGGGATGATGACGATGATGATGAATTATGAGATGATGATGATGATGATGATGATGATGATGATGATGATGATGATGATGATGATCATGCTGATGATGGTGATGGTGATGGTGGCGATGGTGACGGTAATGATGATGATGCTGATAGTGATGATGATCATGATGATGATGATGATGATGGGGGAGAGGAGGAGGAGGGAGGAGGGGAGGAGGGGGAGGAGGAGGAGGAAAAGGACGGGGAGTAGGAGGAGGAGGAGGAGGAGGGGGGGGTGGAGGAGGAGCAGGAGGAGGGGAGGAGGATGTGGAGGAAGAGGAGAAAAGCAGGAGGAAGAGGAACAGGGAGGCTTCCCCCGAGTGTTCCCTTTTTATCCGATGTGGCCCAATGCTTGCGCGGCGTCGCAGTGCCGTTTGGCGAGCCATGTAGTCTGAACAGGAGGAGGAGAAGGAGGAGTGAGAGGAGGAGAAAGGAGGAGGGGGGGGGAGGAGGAGGAGGACGAGACGACGAGGACGAGGAGGCGGAGGAGGAGGAGGAAGAGGAGGAGGAGGGAAGGAAAAGGGAGAGGGGGATGATGATGAGGAGGAGGAGGGACATGATGAAGATGATGCTGGTGATGGTGATGGTGGTGGTGGTGAGGAGGAGGAGGAGGAGGAGGAGGAGGAGGAGGAAGGAGGAGGATGAGGAGGAGGAGGAGGATGAGGGGGAAGAGCAGGAGGAGGAGGAGGGAACGTAGGAGGAGAAGGAGGAGGAGGCGGAGGAGGAGGAAGAGGAGGATGAGGAGGAGGAAAAGGAGGAGGAGAAGGAGGAGGGGAGGAAGGTGGCGGAGGAGGAGGGAGGGGGAAAAGAAGGGCGATGGGGGGAGGAGGAAGAGCAGGAGGAGAGGAGCAAAAGCAGAGGGACAGAGGAGGACGAGGAAGAGGTGTCGTTTTCGGGCGCTTCGGGCCGCCTCGGGGTTAGGAGCGCCCAAAAGCTTTTCGAACCACGACCACAAAACTCGACGAATAACCGAAGTGCATTCAGCCTTCAACCTCCTCGTCCGTTGTTTGGCCGTTGCCCCGGGCGAAGCTAGCACCTAAGCGCGCGCGTCGCGCGCGCGTGGTTCTAGTGTATATATATATATATATATTATTATCATGCGCACTTCTCCGAGGGAGTAGAGCTCAGAGACGATGAGTGCGCACGCGTTGCGTCGTTCGGGATTTGTCTGGCCGTTTCGCTAGGGACGTCTTCGAAATTCTGAGAATCGGTGACACACCTCGCACAGATCGTGACGTCAGGGTCCAACAACACATTGGAATCTCAACATATTAAAATACAACCTTCAAGCATACATTGTAAGTTCAATTGTATTGACCCAGATTTTCAGAGAATGGCGGTTTCGCTTGAGACATCCTCCCACAATCGAGCCCCGATATACCGTTCTGGTACCCCAGACCCCGCCTCGGAGCTTCCTGGGGGCCTCCTGGAACCTCCTGGGGCCTCCTGAGGCTTTCTGTATTTTCTGGTACCCCAGACCCCGCCTCAGAGCCTCCTGGGGGTCTCCTGGAACCTCCCGGGGCCTCCTGGAGTCTCCTGCGGCCTCCCGGGGCCTTCTGGGGCCTCTTGGAGTTTCCTGGGGTCTCCTGGGGCCTCCTGAGGCCGCCTGGGGCCTCCTGGGGCTTCCTGGGGCGTCAGAGCTACATGCACACACAGAGACACACATCACACCCAACACATCACACGCTAGACAAACATGAAACAATCAGGCGCCGTGAGGCACTCCCGACAATCCTCAATGCCGTCCCAAGAGGCCCCAGGAAACCCCAAAACGGCCCTCAAGAGGCTTCACTGCCGCCCTCGGCCAAGACAGCCTCCAGACTTCAGACGGCCCAGGCGCCTCCAGGAAGCGCCTGGAAGGCCCTCAGAGCGTTCCGACACGGCCTTCCGACGGCCAAGACAGGGTTTTTTCCGATTCCTTCGCCTCGAGTCGAATCAATTTCTGCCAGGGCCGATTCGAACCGTCTCGATTCGGAGATTCCCACTCGCGATTCCGATTTCGAGTTCGCCCGATCCGACTCCTGTCGATTCGATGTGTCAGCCGACTTCTGTCGATTTCTTGCCGATTCAGCTTCCCTTCAGTTCTTCGATGGTTCAAACAAAAGAGGAGGAGGAGGAAGGAGAATAAGAAGAAGAAGAGGAGGAATACATGGAGGAATAAGAGGAGGAATCACAGGAGGAAAAAGAGGAGGAGGAGGAGGAGGAGGAGGAGGAGAAGGACATGGAAATGGACATGGAAGAGGAATAGTATGAGGAGGAGGAGGAGGAGGAGGACGACGAGGACGAGGACGAGGAGGAGGAGGAGGAGGAGGAGGAGGAGGAGGAGGAGCAGGAGCAGGAACAGGCTGAGGAGGAGGAGGAGGAGATGAGGAGGAGGAGGAGGAGGCGGAGGAGGAGGAGGAGGAGGAGGAGGAAACGGAGGCGGAGGCGGGGGCGGAGGCGGAGGCAGAGGTGGCGGAGGTGGAGGAGGAGGAGGAATAATAATCAGAAGCAGAAGCAGAAACGTAATAATATTATGAATGATAATGATGTAAAAAGAAGAAGACTGAGACGAGTATTAAGAATACAATTCATGATAATAATAATAATACTACTAATAATAATACTAATAATCATAATCGTAATACTAATAATAATAATGATAATGAGAATAATACTAATACTAATAATAATAGTAATTAGTAATAGTAATTAGTAATAGTCATAATAATATTATTATTAATAATGATAATAATAATAATGAATAATAATAATAATAATAATAATAATAATAATAATAATAATAATAATAATAGCGCAACGATAACAGTATAAGAAGAAGAACATACTAATACTAAGAGGAGGAGGAGGAGGAGGAGGAGGGGAGGAGGAGGAGGAGGAGGAGGAGGAGGAGGAGGAGGAGGAAGACGAGGAGGAGGAGGAAGGAGGAGGAGGAGAAGAAGAAGGAGGAGGAGGAGGAGGAGGAGGAGGAGAGGGGCGGCGCCAGGGGAACCCTTCCGACGCCTCGGCAAAGACGCTGAGCTACGCCCAGAGCCGACTGGCCAGCGTCGTGCTGGAGCCGCCCCGCCGGCCCCCTCCCGCCGCTCCTGCCTGCCAGCTGTCGGGGGCGGCCAGTAGGGGGGGGGGATCGCAGGGGGTGGGGGCGGATGTCATTCGGGGCTGCTGCATGGGCAACGATAGGGGGGCGGGGGGGCATGGGCATAGGGGGGACGCATCGACCCCCAGTCGCCCATTGATCGCCGATAGGGGCCCGATAGCCCCACCCCGTCCAGGAAGGTGCGGATTCACTGTCGGGTTCCTATCGCCGACCTATCGGCGATGTATCGCCGATTCCATGTCAATGTTTCCCCCCTCTATGCCAGTCCCCCCTATCGTTGCCCCTCAAAGATGCCCCCTGGCCCAAGGTGCCCCCAGCTTTTCGCTCACTTTTGGATCTCTTGGGGCCCTCTGGGCCTCGTGAGGGGTGCTCTGGATGCCGTGGGGGCCTCCTTGGAAATTCTGGGGGCACCTTGGGCCAGAGCACGCATAGCAACACCCGAGTCGTAGCCGGGGCCATGAGATCTCCTACGTGACGGGGTCAGCGCCGACCCCGGTTTTGTGGGGTCGACCCCGCGACCTCTCCTTTCGCTGGTCCAGGTTTGGGAGCTTGTTTGTGGCTGGCCAAGGTTCACGGCGTGACGTCGGTTGACCTGGGTCAGCGTTGACCCAGGTCAGTCCGTCCCCGAAGAAGGCACGGTTTCCTTTTCTGATTTCAGTGCGTCCCCCGCCAGCAGGAAGGAGGGAGGCGGGGGGCGGGTCGGACCCCGACCCCCTCGCTTCTTGGTTGTGAAATTAGCCTGGCAATGTTGTGAAATTAGCCTTGCAACGGGCCCAACCACATCCAGTTGTGAGTACCGTCGTCGTATGCACCCCATTCGGAGGAGCTCACTATAGGGCCACGAAACGTGTGAAGGGTGTGCCGAAATTTGTCGGGCGCATGCGAAAGCAGCCACTTGGGCCGTCGGTGGAGCTCCCTATGGGGCCACGAAGCGCGTGACTGGTGTGCCGAAATAGGTGCAGTGGACGCATGGGAACGCAGCCAGTGGGGCCATCGGTGGAGCTCCCTATGGGGCCGCGAAACGTGTGATGGGTGTGCCACAATGGGTGCGGTGGGCGCATGCGAACGCAGCCACTGGCGCATTCGGTGGAGCTCACAATGGGGTCACGAAACGCGTGAGGGGTGTGCTGTGCGGGCTGTAGCACCGGGGAATTCAGTGGAGCCCTTCGGTGGAGTTCCCTATTGGGCCACGAAGCGCGTGAGGGGTGTGACGAACTGGGTGTTGGCGACGCGTGCGGTCGGTGGCACTGGCGCCGTCGGTGGAGCTCCCTATATGGACACGAGACGCGTGAGGGGTGTGCTGGAATATGCATGGGTGACGCATGCGGGCGGTGGCAAAGGGGCCTTCGTTGGAGCTCCCTATGGGGCCACGGAACGTGTGAGGGGTGTGACGACATGGGTGTGGGTGACGCATGCGGGCGGTGGCACTGGAGCCTTCGGTGGGGCTCCCAATGGGGCCACGACACTTTTTTTTTTACAAGCGCAAGCGGGCCCCGTGGCGAAACGCAAGGAGGAGAGGGGGAGGAGAGGGGGGAGGGTGAAACCGTCGGCAGCCAGCCCCTGGGCTGCGCCGCATCTGTCTAGTCCGGCGGCCCCGGCCGAGCCTCCAGCCGCCTGCGCAGCGCCGCGCGCCAGCCCGCCTCGCTGCCTCCCGCTCGCACCGCGGGCACCAGCAGGAGCGCCGCTGCGCGAGGCGGCAACGTGCAGGCCCACCCCGGGCAGGGCCGAGCCGCCAGCGCCCGCCAGTGCGGGGCTGCGCTGCCGCAGCAGAGGCACGCGACCCACCCGGGGCCCTGCGACGCCGCATGCAGCGCCCACGCGCCGCCCCCGAAGAGGGCGCGGGCGGCCTCGGCGGCACCGCGCTGGGGCAAACCCTGGCCGACCGCCCACGGTCGCCGGGGGCGCCGCTGCAGCTGCGGCTGCGTGTCCCCTGCCGGCGCCGTCTGCTGCTGCTGTGCCCGCCTCCTGTTGGGCCGCGCAGCCCGCGCCAGCCGTGGGCCGCCCGTCCAGCGCCTGTGCACCCTGGGCCCAGCCGGCCCGGAGCTCTCGTGGTTGGCGCGCAGCGCGGCCAATTCCACGGCGGCCAGCAACCGCTGCAGGCAGCGTAGCGCGCGCAGCTGCACCTGCCGCCCGACGCAGAGCGCGCGCTCGGGCAAACAGGCGCGCGCGGCGGCGCCCGCCAAGCGGTCGGCGGTCTCATTGCCAGCGTGGTCCTCGGGTGCGATCCCGCGACCCGCCGCCGCGGCTGCGTCGAGGTGCCCCTTGACCCAGCGCGCCTCGATGAAACCGCTCTCGCAGTGCGGCCTCAGCAGCTCCCACAGGTCCGCGTGCGCCCACTCGGTGGGAGAGGCGCCGGCGCGCAAGGCCGCGACCCCGTGGCACACGTAGCGCGAATCAGAGACCAGTTCCAGGGGTGCTCCGACCGCGCTGACCGCGTGCACCGCCGCGGTGAGCACGGCCCGTTGCGCGGTCTGGGACCCGCCCACAGGCCCGTTGCGGCGCCGCAGCAGACCGTCGGACCCTCGCCAGCAGAGACCCCACCCTGCCCGAGCAGGAGCGGGTCTGTGGGGTGCTCGCAGGCGCCGTCGCTCCAGGCCCGCAGCCGTGCTTGCCCAGGGCCAACCGCTGGGGGCGGCAGCGGAGGCGGTGGCAGCTCCTGCTTGGCCTGCGCTGCCAAAGCGGCCAGGCGCGCGTCCAGCGGCAGCACCCCGGTCAGCGGAACGCCGGCTGGGAGGCGCGCGAGCAGGGCTTCCTGGCTCAGACCTGCGGCCTGCAGCTCAGCGCGGCGAGCCGCTGCCCACTGGGGGCACTCCCAGAAGCGGTGCTCCTTGGTTTCTGCCGCGGCGCCGCAGTGCGGGCAGCGCGCGGGCCAGCCCCACTTCGCGGCCACCGTCTCCGTGACGACGTTGCCACTGAGCACCGCGCGGAGGGCGCCGGCCGCGCCTGGCGCCAGCTCCTCGCTCTCGAGCAAGCGGCGGGTGGCCCAGCGGTCGATTCCGACGCCGACATGCCCGAGGTCGGCACGCCGCCCAGCCACCACGCGGGCCCTACGCCGCGACCAGGCGTCCAGCAGCGCAGCAATGGGGCCACGACACGTGTGAGGGGTGTGCCGACATGTGTGTGTGTGTGTGTGTGACGAATGCGGGCGGTGGAACTGGCCTTCCGTGGAGCTCCCCATGGTGTGTGTGTGTGTGACGCATGCGGGCGGTGGCATTGGGGCCTTCGGTGGAGCTCCCTATGGGGCCACGAAGCGTGTGAGGGGTGTGCCGGAATATGGGTGTGGGTGACGCATGCGGGCGGTGGCATTGGGGCCTTCGGTGGAGCTCCCTACTGGGCCACGAAACGTGTGAAGGGTGTGCCGAAATGGGTGTTGGTGACGCATGCGGGCGGTGGAACTGTGGCCTTTGGTGGAGCTCCCTAGGAGGCCACGAAACGTGAGAGGGGTGTGCCGGAGTTGGTGAATCTCCATATTGGGCCACGAAGCGGTGCACTGGGTGGGTGAAGCGCAGGGAGGAAGGAGGAGGGGGAGGAGGACGAGGGAGGAGGGAGGAGGGTGAGGAGGAGGAGGAGTGTGACGCGGAGCGCTGTCGCTTCGAAGCGAGGATCCAACACCACTGACAGTATGGTTGGGAACAAAAGATTAGCCTGACGAAGGACCCAACCATATGCAGCTGCGAGTGCCGCATTGTGGGTACCGCTTTCGGTGGAGAACCCAGTGGGGCCACGAAACGCGCGAGGGGTGCGGCAAGCAAATGCGGACGCATGAGGAAACCGGCACTGGTCGGTGGAGCTCTCTATGGGGCCACGAAGCGCTGTCCTGGATGGCGTTGGCGCATACGACCTGTGCCACTGGAGCCTTCGGTGGAGCTCTCTATGGGGCCACGAAGCGCTGCCCTAGGTGGCGTTGACGCATGCGGCCTGTGTCACTGGAGCTTTCGGTGGAGCTCCCTATGGGGCCTCGAAGCGCTGTCCTGGATGGCGTTGACGCATGCGGCCTGTGACACTGGAGCATTCGGTGGAGCTCCCTATGGGGCCACGAAGCGCTGTCCTGGGTGGCGGTGGCGCTTGCGGCCTGTGCCACTGGAGCTTTCGGTGGAGCTCCCTATGGGGCCACGAAGCGCTGTTCTGGGTGGCGGTGACGCATGCGGCCTGTGCCACTGGAGCCTTCGGTGGAGCTCCCTTTGGGGCCACGACACGCTGTCCTAGGAGGCGGTGACGCATGCGGCCTGTGCCACTGGAGCCTTCGGTGGAGCTCCCTGTGGGGCCACGACGCGCTGTCCTGGATGGCGGTGACGCATGTGGCCTGTGACACTGGAGCCTTCGGTGGAGCTCCCTATGGGGCCACGAAGCGTTGTCCTGGGTGGCGTCGAAGCATGCGACCTGTGCCACTGGAGCCTTCGGTGGAGCTCCCTATGGGGCCACGAAGCGCTGTCCTGGGTGGGTGAAGCGCAGGGAGGTGACGAGGCGGATGTGAGGAGGGGGAGGAGGAGGAGAGGAGAGGAGAGGACACGCGGGGCGCTGTCTGTTCCAAGCGAGGACACAACACCACAGGATGTCTGGGAACAAAAACTACGGAAGTTGATTGTTGATCATATTCGGCCTCACTGGGCCCCTGGATTGTCAAAAAGCGATTCGGGATGGAAAGCCGATTCCAGGGAAGGGGTCCAGACCTCTGGGGAATGGCGTTGTTAAAGGTCTCGACGTCGGGGGTCTGTAAGGAGTAGCGGGAAGGGGGCTGGGTCGGATGAAACGATGGAGGATGTGGGAAAGGGGGGTACGACGAAATCTGCTGCTTAAAATTGGGAGGTCTTGAGTCATGCCAGCCCCCCCCCAAAGCTCAGGGCTGGCAGTGCACTCCGCGCGTTCCCCCGTCCGCCCTGTCTTTCTCTTCCTCCACCTCCTCCTCCTCCTCCTCAGTAGTAG